TCGTCTAAAAAAATGATTGCTTGAGTTGGTGCATCAGATGTTTGTGGTCCTTTGAAGGATAAGTCATTTAGTGATGCACTTTACTTTGTGACTTTTATTGATGATCATTCAATGAGACTTTAGGTTTGTACTTAAAGTTAAAAGAGCAGGTTTTTGGTCCATTTAAAGAATTTTAAGCTTTTGTTGAGAGAAAAACTGGAAAGAAGTTGAAATGTATTCGCATTGATAATGGTGGTGAGTATTGTGGGCCATTTGATGCATATTACTGAGAACATGGTATCAAACATCAGAAGACACATCCTAAAAACTCCTCAGTTGAACGATTTGACAGAAAGGATGAACAAAACATTAATGGAGAGAGTCAGATGCGTGTTTTCAGAGGCTAAATTGTCTAACTATTTTTTGGGATGAAGCTTTGCATACTGTTGCACATGTGATCAATCTAACTCTCACTATTGCATTGGGAAACGATGTTCCTAATAAATTCCGGTACAGTAGAGATGTTTCCTATGAACATCTACGAGTGTTTGGTTGTAAATATTTTGTGCATGTTCCCAAAGATGAGATGTCCAAATTAGATGCCAAGACTAGGCAGTATATCTTCATTGTCTATGGGCAAGATGAGTTTGATTATAGATGCTATGACCCAGTTTAAAAGAAAGTTATCAGAAATCGTGATGTAATCTTATAAAAGATCATACTATTAAAGATATTAACGAGGTGGAGAAATCTAAGTCTCAAATTGGTGGTTTGATTGACTTAGACTCATCTCTTATAACTCATATGTCTGATGCAGTTAAAGTTCAGAATCATGATGCGTAAAATGACAATCATAATACAGATGAGATTGGTGCTCCTGAAGATGAAGCAATTGATATTCAACAAGAGACACATGTTAAAGAACTTGAAGTTCCACTTAAAAGGACTACTAGAGATCGAACGCATTCTACTAAGTATTCACCTAATGAGTACATACTCTTGACAGATGAAGAAGAACCTGAATGTTATGAAAATGCAATTGAGAATGAGTAAAAGGTAGAATAGATTGCAGCTATTAATGATGAAATGTAGTCTTTAGCTGATAATCACATATTTGAATTGATGAAGCTTCCTAAAGATAGAAAAGCCTTGAAAAATAGGTGGGTTTATAGAGTGAAGTAAGACGATAATTCTAAATCTGCATGATACAAAGCTAGATTAGTTGTCAAGGGCTTTGGTAAGAAAATTAGAATTAATTTTGATGAGATATTCTCACCAGTGGTTAAAATGTCATCAATTCGTGTTATTTTAAGGTTAGCTACTAATCTTGATTTAGAAGTTGAGTAAATGGATGTTAAAGCAACATTCGTTCATCGTAACTTAGAGGAGGAAATCTACATGGAATAACCTGAAGATTTTATAGTGAAATGAAAGAAAAAATGTTTGCAAATTGAGAAAGAGTTTATATGGGTTGAAACAAGCACTTAGGCAATAGTCTAAGAAGTTTGAGTCAGTTATGATTCAACAAGACTACAAGAAGACTAGTTCTGATCATTGTGTTTTTATAGAGATTTTTTGATAGTGATTTTATTATCCTGTTGTTACATGTTGATGATATGCTCATTATGGGTTCTAGTTCTTTCAGAATTGATAGCTTGAAGAAAGAGTTGAGCAAATCATTTGTAATGAAATATTTATGGCCAACAAAGTACATTGTTGGCATGAGAATCACTCTCGATAAAAAATACAAAAAGTTGTGGCTATCTCAAAAAAAGTACATTGAGAAGGTACTATAACAATTTAATATGACCATAGCTAAATCTGTAAGTACACCTCTTACTATATCTTCTAGATTGAGTGTCAAACAATCTCTTTCTAGTGAGCAAGAGAAAGAACACATGCAGAAAATTTCTTATGCATCTACAGTAGGTAGCTTGATGTATACTATGATTTGTACTAGACTAGATATAACTCGTGCAGTTGATACTGTTTGTAGATTTCTATCTAATCTAGGAAAAGAACATTGGAATGCCGTGAAATCAATTTTGAGATATCTTCATGGTACTACTAGTTTAAAGTTGTATTTTAGGATTGAGAAGCCTATTCTCAGTGGTTTTATAAATTCTGTTTTGACAGGGGATACAGATTCGAGAAAGTTTACTTCTGGGTATCTAATTACCTTTGTAGGGGGAGCTGCGATATAACTATCTAGGTTGCAGAAATGCATTGCATTGTCTACTACAGAAACCGAGTTCATTGCAGTGACTGAAGCATGTAAAGAGATATGTCTTATTTTGTGACAATCAGAGTGATATTCATCTTGGTAGGAATCCTATTTTTCATTATAGATCCAAACACATTCATGTGAGGTATTATTGGATTTATGATGTTTTGGATTCTAGGTAGTTGAACTTGAGAAGATACACACTGATGATAACGGTTCTGATATGTGCACAAAAGCTTTATCAAGAGTGAAATTTGAAGCATGTCGAATGGTTGTCAATTTGGTGAACTCCTCCACATAGTCAGAAAGGGTCGAATTGTTGGGTTTTAGGTTCCCTCTTATGTGGAAAAACCCAAATCCTTTTTTAACTCACTTATTTTTTCGCCTATTAGGGTTATTATGGTTTTTGTTTTTAGGATATACCACTTTAACCTTAAGAAATAGTATAAAAATAAGCTTTCAGCCACCAAAAGGTAGAAAACAAAAAAAAAAAGGAAATTTTTGCTGAAAAAATTATATCCAACGTGTTTTACTTCTTTACATGATTAGACGGTGATCTTTATTCGGATTAGATTGAAATTTAGTGGGTATTTGAAAGACTCATTGTTCTTCATTCTAGTAGGTGGATATCGATTTTGAATGGTTGGATTTTCGGTATTTTCAGTTTGAAATTACTATTCACAGTTTTTGTCCCTCCATCGACCATTTGACTTTCTCTTACTATCGGACACCATTTATGGTCTGATGAGACTGAACTTTGGTGTGCATGTTTGAGATAATTGTTCTTTAATTTAAACGGTGGAGATCAGATTTGAACAATCAGAACGCATCCATTTTGTATGAACAATAGCTGTTTTTGTGATATTTATCTATTCCCTTGTTTATCACTTATTGTTTGGTTGATTTATTATTGAGTATTTGTTTAAGGATTATTATAGTGGTTACTTATTGTTCCTGTAAACACTAATTTTTATAGTGGAGTTCTTTTTACTGGGATCAGGAAAGATCCCATAGTTTTTATTCTTCACATTGAAGGAGTTTTCTACGTTAAAAATTTTGAAGTTTTTGTGTGATTGTTTTTGAGTATCTTGGGGCAGATTTTATCATATTTGTTTTGGCTGAATTTTTACTTAGTTTTTACTCCTTTAGAGCACTTTGCTATGCACTTGGTGTTAACTCTAAGCTTGTACTAAGGGGGAATGCCAAAAATTAGTGCAACTCACAGATCGTGCTTGATGAAGAGTTGCTGACAAAGTCAAAGTTTTATCCTTTTAGCTTTCCGTTTATTTAGGAAGTAATTTGTTTTTACTTTTCTTTAAGAGATTGTTGAGATAATGCACTAACATGATGGTTTAGTTGAGATAATGACACTATCTCGTTGGTGCTCCTTAAACAAACAGTTGAGATTTTTTAGGAACTTTTTTAGTATTTAAATCTCTTTCTGTTAATATTTTAAAATAAGATATTTAAGTTATTCATCGAGTAACTAAACTTTCTGCTTTGTTTGTTGTTTGCTCATTTATAATATATTTCAGTTCTTGAGTTTTGTTTCACCCATCATTGAAGGATATCATAGGCCAAAGACACCTTGACATCTCTTTTTTAAGTTCAATAACTATTATAATGTATTTGTAATTGTGAATGTCATTGAATACTTAAATTATTCGTCTCCCATCCTCTGCTCCTCGGAGGCAAAAAACAACAAACATTTTTTATGTCTAAAATCAACAATAAAGTTACGATTCGACCATACACTCATCCATAATGATTCTCAACTAATTATTTATCTTTTTTTTTTTAAATCTCAAACATATTATTCATATTAGGCTATTGAACATATATTAATAGAATGTAAATCGTTTTCTTACGCGTTTAACTTCAACATACAAAATAATCTCTTGAGTTTTTTTAATTTTTTTGCACATAATATCGTCAAGTCAGTCACTCAAAAGAATTGTTCGGGAACGATTCCGTAGAAACTCGAAAAATATAGAAATATATTTTAAAATTTTGTAGTAATTAAACTAGCACAAAATATAGAAACTAGGAAAATGTAGAAAAACAATCAATGAGAAAAAAAAAAAAGAAAATATCTACACGAACACAATGAACCCTTCCGAAACATGTCTCAGTCCGACTAATAAATGAAAAATAAATATGGCAGACTTGATCCAAAATCAAAAACCACAATACGATTGGTTCGCCTTCCAAAATCAACATCAACCTCACAATCCCTCCAAAAATCTCATCCCAGGATTTTTACACTTCTTATTCCATCTTTTTTAGCCACTCCCTTTTTCCTGTCACATTTTTTTTCTCCCCCCTCCTTTTAAATGTATGGTCAAAGATGGTATATTCTCTCGTTACTTTTTCTTATTTAAAACTTACATTACATAAACATAGAATCTATTAGTTGATATTGTATTTTTAAACCCAAAACCACTTTAAATATATAAGTGAAATAAATTTTAATTTATAAATATCATTATATAATTTTATAAATATATAATTTATTATTATTGGTGCTGGAAATAATAAAAATCGAAAACTAATTAACTAAAACCACACAAATTGGAATCCAAATATTTGAAAACTAGACACGTCAACTTGTCAGTCACCATACAAAAATGAGAGCGCCCAGTTGACGTGTAAACGAACTCCCCCACCCATTCTCCTTCCTTTATTTTCCCACACTCGGCAGCCAACCAATCACCTTACCCTCACCATTTCATATCTCCTTCACCAAATAAGCCAGAGGCCTCTACGGAATTCCAAACCAAAACCCTATCGACAAGAACAGATACTGAAATACTTTAAATCTCACCATTTTCGGTTCACCAAGAATGACGATGGAGATTAGTCCCGACGTGTACTCTCAAGATGATCATCACCACGAAATTGCACCGCCGGAGATTACTTTTCAAAGTTCGAGCGATGTTAATCATCCTTTGAAAACGGAAAGTCTGACTAATTTGTTGAAGGACGCTTCTCGTGAGCACCAGGAGGATCGGTATAATGGAGCGGAAACGGAAGAGTTGTCGTCGGAAGTTGAGTTAAATACTGGGGAAGAGAGCAGGACGACGGTATTATCACAAGGAGGGACTCGGCTTGATAACGAGCCGGTGAGAATTGAAAATGGAGACGGCGGAGGGAGAGAGAGCGGATCGATGTTGCCGGAGGATAATGGGCGTGAAAGGCTGAAGAGACACAGAATAGAGGTGGCTGGTAGTGTTTGGATTCCTGAAATATGGGGACAAGAGAAGCTGTTGAAGGACTGGATTGACTGTTCGACTTTTGACGCGTCGTTGGTGCCCGGCGGGATCTTATCGGCTAGGGCGGCTTTGGTTGAAGAAGGAAGACGAGCAAATTCGGGCAGATTAAGAATAGAAAACAGGTGTTGAGCTATAATTATTTTGAATAATATTTTGATGTATATTTTTGATTTGATGCTCGTTGATTATTGTGTGAGAATATGGAAACGGCATGGTGTTCGTTCATGATAGAAAAAGATCCATCCCTGGTGTAGGTTGAAGTTTATGGTGACAATAACTGGTTTTTTCTTCTTCGGCTAAATTTGCATTATAAGTAACCAGCACTACAGAATTCTGTCCCAGTTGCCTGTCTCAGCACTGAAAATCATTCCTATGATACTTACGTGCTAATTTCTTCACATTCTATATTGACTTTTTCTTTTTTAGTTTTGCATAATAAATTAATAATTACTTAAATGTTATAGAATGATTCACAAAATTACAACTGCAACAACAAATTACTAAATTGTTTGAATATATTAAAAAATTATTTTTATATACCAATTATTTATTAATTGAGTTGAACGGTTAATACTTATACTTTGGTTTTAATTATATTATTTTTAAATATGTAACGAGACTTAATTATTAAAATATATATAAATCCGTGTTAAAAAGTTTATCAAGTATATTTGCTAGAGAGAAAACCGGATTCCACAAAAAATAAATAAATTTTATTGGACAAAATATTCAATATATTCTAATCAACAATAAAATAAAATAAATAAGATTAAATAGTTCTCTTAATTTAGTTGATATGAAAATCTCAAAATTTCTAAAAATTGATTTTTTTTTTATTCATTTACAAATCACAAGAAAAAAAATTATTTATTGTTAAATTGACAAAGTCTTGTTTCTTAATAATTTAGTTTTTGAAAATTACTCTTACTATCTTTCTCCGCCATTAAAGAATTCACAGAAACCAGGTCTAAGAACTCGAACAAAAGTGCCACCCGAGCAAAAATCAATTGTTTAGGAAACTGAGTGCTTCAATAGGGCGGCTGTCATGGCAAATTCGTCCTAAGGAATAGCAATGATAACTTGAACCAAATATTCTACTGCGCAAATATATATACTAAAATCATAATAGTCATGGAGAGCAGCCAAACCTAGTAGGTTCATTCTCCCTTAAAAAAATAAATAAAGAAAAAAACCACACGCAGCAGCGAAATTCAATTGGTTTCAAATTCTTATAGACTTTGTATCAGATCTTGATTCCACATGAGAAAGAGAGAGAGAGAATCAATCTTATTATTCAACCCGGGAATGCAATCATGAGCAGACATCCTTCGTTTCTATTTTTCTTCTTACATAATGTAACAACATTTTTGCTATCATCTACGGAAAATATGTTAGAAAACGCATGCGCTAATGGACAATATCGACTTTCTCAAAATCCACCAATCAGGGGTACAATAGGATTCCATGTCATCGTACGCATTTGGAATCCATTGAATGAAGAGGATATGAGCCATGCTGATCAGAAAAATCGAATCAGGGTTTAGTTGCCAGCTCCCATATCTTTATCGTCCCATCATCACTCGCAGAGGCGAGTAGTCGGTTTACCTGGCAAGTTTTCACAGCAACAACCAATGTATTAGCATTAGTAGTTTCAATTGTGATCAATAGAAGCTTAAAATTTGAAATGGCAGTCGTTTCGCAGCGCAGGGAGTTGGTCGGGCAAGTAAAAACTGATATGATTGGGCCTTTTTAGGAAAAAACAGACTGCAAAGATGCAGGGAAGTAACACCCAGAGATCAGAACAATGGATGATATAGGGCTACGTTCAGAACAAATAGACTTTCTCAATTTTCATCATCTTCTAATAGAGTCTACATAATTTCTTAATTAAATTAAATGTAAATCTCTAGATAAATTGTAAAAAATGATTTGTTCCACATGTAACCAAGGCTGATAAAGAGAATCATTTGTTATACCCTTAGCTCCACACCACAAGCCAGAGTTTATTCCATGGATTCATGGGACAGTTTCAGAAAATCATTTTTCCATGGGGTCCCAACGCCCATCACATAGAAAAATGGTGACAGATTGTGCCTTAGTGCATCTAAGCTCACATTACGCGGAGATCTCATCTCATTTCTATAAGAGAGCAGCAAGTCTTACCCCAGGGCTCCATTGTACTGAATTTACATCCATGTCATGGGCCTTGTCCTTCTTAAGTAATAAATTGTATGAAGGTCCGTCAACCTATAGCAAAAATATGTAGCAGATAAATCCATTAAATAGCTACTATCTGAAAAAGAGAGGACTCTTTCATGCAATTCACACAGGAAAATATTTTATTTGTTTATCTGCAGATTTCTGTACACAGAATTGTACATGCTGCTCAATCAAATTTCCTAGAGGGTTCACCATCAAATGTATAATTCGTTGATCCTCTGGATGCTACAACATCAAACAAATTCTTGCCCTTTTTCTGCACCTCACCACTGAAGGCCAATCAGTAACATTTGTAGTTAATGGAACAAAGGGAGAACCACTGTGCTTATTTATCAGTGTGTTTATTTGGCCATGTCAGGGAGAATGAGTCCTAGACTGGTTGAATCAAAGTAAAGCGGGCCAAAAATATGTTATATAACTCAAAGACCTAGTGAGGTCTCGTGCTTCTACTTGACTAAAGAAGTTCAAGGTAGAATGATGAAGCAAAATCTTCATCCTTTAATTTCTGTGGAACACCTTAAAGTTTGGCCTCAAAACTTATTTCAATAAAGATATAACTTGCATGTCAGCTGGTCCAACATGTTTTACGTCCTAGTTTTTGGGATGTAATTTCCAAATTTCTGCCAATTACTACCCATAACTAAGATATCATGATGAGTTCATAAATAGAGCCTTCTCGACCATAGGGGAGAACAGATAAGTATGAAGGTTACTCAGGATGCTAGCAAAAGATAAATAATCTTGAAGCAGGGGACCAAATTTGTATTATAAAATGAAGAGAAGATATTGATACCAATTTACCCTCTAAAATGATTCATGAGCTAAATAATAGAAAACAAGTGATTAGATATCTGAAAAATAAAAGGAAAGAGACCAATTCATGACAAAGCCAGCAAACTATTGGTCAAAAGTTAGCAAAAGCACTCTCCTTTAACACCAGCAGAATCCTAATCTTTATCTTCTAAAACACATTTTTAGCTTCCAAAATAAAAGAAACAAAACACCCAAGATTTTGAATTGGAAGAGAAATATTGAATCCTGTGCCAGTTCCCCCTCATCTTATAAGATGTAGCAATAGATATATATATCCACCTATCATTTTTAACTTTCAAAGTACCCTGATAAGAAAGCACTTTCCCAGGCAAAGCTGGCAAAAAGAGACAAAAAGAAGAGGGCAAACTAGTACCAAACCATCTTTGTCCTCCACAAACAATCGCACAGCATCATCTGCTGCTCCACTAGCAATAATGCCTTCCCTGGAAAAGCAAAGGGTAGTTATTCAGTAGGAGAAGACTAACTTAGATATCTCATGCTGTGTTTGGTTTATTATCTATTCTATTCTCACTCAATTACTACATTTTTATTTGCAATGTATGATTTGATGTGTAATTGATCAACAACCCTCAAATTTTAATTCCAGAATAATAGAAGTATTTTCTCATTTGTAAATGAAAGAAATTATCAAACCAAATGCATTAAATTGGAATGAAATTGATTGCAATTGGAGTGTTATTTCATTCAAGATTTTCATTGGAATGCTACTGTATTCATATCCTTTTTCATAGAACTAAAAGTTGAACAAACTAAATCTTATAGTGATTGGTTTTGTATTATTTCCAGACATCTATTAAAATTAGCCAAAAATGTCATTATCACAAATTTGGTCCATCCCACTATCTATATCTTGCAATTATGTAAAAATTTTGTTTCCTGGGGAAAAAACACATTCTTTTCACTGAATGGAACACCTGGGTCCAACCAGATGTCAGGTCCAGTCATTAAAATATTCTCATAATGAAAGAATCTTCTAAGGAAATAACCTTATCTAGATCTTTAGTTTAGTTTATATGGTGGAGATGAGGCATCTCTGGGGCAATTGGCATAAGGAGTTCTCTGTAAAAAAGTTATACCAGATTTGTGAATGATTTATAAGTAGTTAATTATGTCATCCGTGCACTTCAACTAGAGGATGGCATCCCAATCATTGTTCGGTGATGCAAATAGTATTAAAGGATAATTTTCTTTCAGATTTTTCTTATGAGTCCAGCATAGGATTGGCCTTGAATCTGAACAAGAGAACAAACTTTAAATTCCATGTCAAAGCCCAACAAAGATATGCTTCACAAGTAAACAAACTGTCGTACCTTGACCAGTGAACTGAAAAAATAGTTCGATCATGGTAACCTGAAAGAGAGCAAAGATGGCTCCTGCATATCCAATAGAAAGGAGCACAGTTATTGGCATGAATGAAAAGAAGAGGAGAAAATGATCCAAAAAGGGAGAATAATCAACTTTTCTTATAATCTAACTAAAAGTAAGAATGGTACATATAGCAAGCTATTTTCAATTCTTTGGGGCACATGATGGGGTTACAAAATGAAAAAATTTCATCATCTCAACTCCATTCCCCACCAAAAGAAAACAAAAAATAATTGTTTCCGAGCTTCAGCAATTGGAAATTACTCTCTAAAATTGACAAACATTAACATACTGACATAATTGCCATTTTAAATCAGGTCCGAAACATTAACATACTGATGAAATTGCCATTATAAGATAAGATCCAAAACTGCTAATTAATTAGCTAAGCTGTTAAGAACTTGCTCCAGATAGTAATGACCCAGAGTATAAGGGATGACTATATATGTATGAACAAACTAATGTATAACCATATTAGTCAAAGATCTTTGACTTCTGCCAGATATGCTAGAAGTAAAGGTGGCATGATATTGATATCTCTTTGATGATGAGATGTAGGAACAATCTGACAACAAAACAGCCAAGCAAAAGCTCTTCAAGTTATCTATATGACACGAGTTGCACATTGAAATGGCAGGTTTTCATCCCTACACTTCACTCAGAGGCAACAACAGAAAGCTTTCAAACATATTTATAGAAAACAATTGAAAAACAAAGATCCAGCCCAACCCACTGATAAAAATTAATAAAATGAAGTGGATTTATAGGATATATAAAAATATAGTGTAGAAGCATACATAAACAGTACAGACACTTTTTCCAGAAAAAGTAGAACCACGTTATGTAAGATTGCATGTTCCTTACCACGGTGCATAACCATCCCCAGAATGCATCCTAGCAATATCCGCGCCCCATATCTTTAGGGTTAGATCATCGCTGCAAAATCAGTATCATAGTTTCTGTCAACACTATTATATTTCCATTGGTCATTGTTGATAATGCCACTAGCTCATACTTCCTCCAAATTCAGGACCAAAATTAGGGAAGAAACATTCACATACCTACATGTAACCATTTTGTCTCCTGTTGCATTAAAGGAAAGTGCCCAAACAGTAGAACAGTGACCACTGGCAAGAAGGTATCATGAAAAAACTTTAGTTGTATGAAATTGAACTTAGTCAACAAAATCTAATTTTATGACCAAAATAACAGCATGAGAAATGAGAAAAATAAATAAAGAACATATCTTTTGAAATAAAAATAAAGAACATATCTTGAAAGTGAATAAGAGGTATTTTTCAAAAGAAAGAACAAAAAAAGCTTAAAATGTAAACAGGGGAGAGTTTAAGGAACACTACTTGTTAGATTCCCCTAAAGTTTGAGCACAGTGCCAACTCTCACCATCGTCATCCTCTGCCCACCATACCTGTGTGTACCATTGCAAGTATCACAATTCAACTCTACCACCCAATCTTATTAACAAATACTGAAAGCAGCAAATGATGATTCTCGTTCATTTATTACTGAGGAAAACAGAACAACAGAGGATTCTAAGCGAATTCAATACCTTAACAGTGTTGTCGTAACTACAAGAGAGCAAAACATCCATAGTCGGATGCCATTTAACCATTTTGACATCTTGTGTGTGTCCTTGCAACACTGAGACACACTCAAATTCATTCCCTGGCATTACTTCCCAAATCCAAACAGTTTTGTCTCGACCACATGTAGCAAGCAGAGATCCTGATGCATTCCACGATACACTTTTTACTTCATTTTCATGACCCTGTACAGCAGAAAATTTCCTTATAGAAAAGACCAAATGCAAGGAATGTATCATTATATGCATTTATGAACACAGTTGTGCAGAAAATAATGTGTGAATTGCACAAAGATGTTTATTTGAATGGAAGGGATGTGAAATTCTCTGCGCTCTGCCCTTCTGTAACTAGCCTTTAGGACAAATATTCTACTACAACTACTCTTACCATTTATATAAATGTTACACTTCATCTCTAATCTCTACCTTGAAAAGACTAAAAGCATTCATAGAGGCTACAAAGTTGACGGTGCAAAAATTTTCCTTAAGAAATTATAGAGAATAATTGATCAAGGATGGAATTGGCTGTACCTCCAAGGTGGAAACACATTCGTAATCACCCCCAATATTTTCCCAAATGGCAGTGGTGGCATCAAAGCTTCCAGTGGCCAACAGTTTCCCAGATGGCGACCAAGCACATGATCTCACAGTTCTAGTGTGCGTTTCTTCCAAAACTGCCTGCACAGTAAAATCATGCCATCATATTTTTATACAATATCTATATAAGACATGTATAGATTATTTCTGCTATCCCTAAACCACCAGAAGCAAAACCAGGACTCTTCAACAGTCAGTAGATGTCGAATATTCAAAGCATACATGTAACGCCATTAACTAATCATTCAAGTTCTTTGAACTAGGTTCAACATATTTGTTTAGCTTAATTTCCACGTTCGTCATCTTTCTATGAAACCGAAACAAGGTGCATGAGTGCTACTCGCTAAATTCACTCCACCTCCACATTCTTCGTGAAATTTAGCCACATAACAACGAAAGAAAAAGAACGCCAAAATGAATTTCAGTTTCAACAAAGAAAACGGAGGGGAAGATTTTCATTTTCAGCACTTTCTCCACGGCCAAACAGAATTTGTGTATAGTTCTCCTTGCGCACGAAGAGAGAAAGAGATAGAGACGGACCTTGCAGTCCCATGAGCGAGAGGAGGGGCGCTGCTCCCAGATTCTTACAGTCTTGTCGCCGCTACAAGAGGCAAATACCGACGGTATCTCGCCGATTCCGGTGGCCGGATTCCATGCCAGGCTCCATACTCGATCCGTGTGGCCTTCCAGTGTCTGAATCTCCTTTAACTCCAAGTTCGCATCAGCAAACTCCATGGCTAGAGTTGCAGAAAGCAGAGGATTCCAATTCTCAATCGGATTTCTCTCGTTGGATTGATTCGAAAAGTATGAGAGCAAGCAAGGAATGGTCAAAGAGTGCTGACTGTTTAGTTTAGGTTATTTGGAGAACTCTGGTGTTTTGGTGAAAAGTCGACGAGTAAGGAGAAGCGCACGCCCCAGTACGCGCGCATACATCCAAGGGGTTTAGAATCTCGGAGGAGGAGAAGCGTGGAGTACTCGTGTCAGACCCCACCTCCGGATTTCTCTTCTACATTTTTTTTTTCTATAAAAACAAAAAATTAATTTTTAACAGTTGTAATAACTTCAACAACTAATATAATTTAGCCTCCACATAATATTAATTTTTGCTTGTTAAAATTTAATTTAATTTAAGTATTATAATATAATTATAATTATTCTATAATATATTTAACAAAATTATAAATTCAATTAGATTTAAATTCGTATTTTTTAAATAAAATATAAAAATTTTATTATCTAAAATTGAATAAGTAAAATTATCATTTATGAACTTAATTTTATTATCTCAAAAAATATTTTTAAATTAAATTAAATATAAACTTAGAAATGAATTCTATACAATTTTTAATCCAAACATTTTTCTATTGAAGTATAATAATTATCCAAATTTTCTACCTTTTACTGAAATCATTAAAAAATTAATAATTCCAATTAATGAATAATGAATTGTGTTTGGAATTAGAACCATTATAAATTAATAATTTTTACTTCGTAATATATTTATAAAATAATTAATTTAATTAAATTTTTATTTTTATTTTTTAAATAAAATATAAAAATTATATTATTTAAAATTTAACTTCTTATATAAAATTATCTTACTTATAAAATTGATTTTATTATTTAAAAAGTATTTTAAAATTAAATTAATTATTAAAGTTAGAAACGAATTCTATAAAAATTTTAAAATTACTCCAAACATTTTTATATAAAAGTGTAATAATTATCCACCTTGTACCGCAATCATAAGAAAATTGATTATTCTATGGGTGACCAATTAATGGACAATGGATTCACCCATCTAGGGCCCAATAATTTGGGCTTGAACCGGTGTTCTGTGGGCTAATAAGCCGGACCAAGTGACTCGGACTTGGACCGGATTGAACATATTTCTTCATGAAGAATCATCAGAGTATAATCGGATCACCATTTGCTCTCGCGATCAGAGATCTCTTCAAACCCTAATACGCAGGTAACCAAGAAAGAGAGGATCCGGATACATCAACAAATCGCCATGGATTACTCTGCTCGAAGAAACCAAGGAGGCCTCTTCGAAGGTCTATACAGAGTGATCATGCGCCGTAATTCGGTCTATGTCACCTTCATCATCGCTGGTGCTTTTATTGGTGAACGGGTATGGATTGCATATTTTCTCTGACAGATCTCAAGTATTAGTTTGTTTATGCTTCGTTTTTGTTGAGCAGAAAGTGAATTTATGTCGGAATCAGATTGAGACGTATTAGCCAGAATAGGAGGAATTAATATTTTTTTTATTCTTTAGGAGATGAAAGGACTAAATTGCTATAGCATTTTTCTAAGAAACTGCTATTTAAGAACCTATATACACACATTGAGGTGCAATCGCGCTTATTTTTCTCCATCTGGAATGTATATATACGAGCTATTTTGATGCGTGATTTTATGGGTACAGGTCGTGGATTACGGTGTTCATAAACTCTGGGAATACAATAATGTTGGGGTATGAAATTTATGCTGTCCCTACTTGTTTTTGCTTGTTTATGGCTATCAACGTGCTTTCAGTTGTGCATATCGGCTTCATAAAGCGATGCTTTCTATTATCATGCATCATCCGAGGTAGACAGATAGCTTATATATGCTCCACTCCTATTTGACATGAAATAGGGAATTTGGAACTCTTTCCCATCAGCTTACATTGTTGTCTATAATTTTGCTCTAAATTGCATCTTTTGCTCTATATGGGGATGGTGGTTTGATGGAATGTTCTATTCACATTTCGTTCCTCCTTTAAAATTGCATGACAATATTTATGTTTAAGCGACCTCCACTCCTGAATTGGGTTATTTTGAGAGTGGGTTTTCAATTTCTATGGTGGGAATTAAAAATATAACCAAGGAATTGAAGGTAAGAGCGGAGGGGGCTCAAACAGGAAAACTTATTTGTTAAAACTAGTCGTGAAGGAATAAGAAGGAAATGGTTTGAGAATGGAACCAAATATGGCCTTAATATTAATAAATTAATTTTTAGTGTTCCTAGAAGTGGAATTAGCTTTTCGGGAACATGCCTCAAGGCAAGCTGATTTGGCTTTTGGTGATTGTCCTAGAAATTTTCTTCACTACATCATATGAAGCAATATAATTCATGATTCATAGTAATGATAAATGACTTGGCCACTGTCTGCTGTGAGTAATTTCTGTATGACCACCTTAACGCTTATGCATCTGCAAAGATCTAACTAGAAACCTTGTAACTCCAAACTGATGAAATACAAGTATTGCCAGTGCCTGCAGGTTTCTTCTTTGCTGGGTAGGTTACGATTTGGTGTTTGATAAGGCACTTTTCTTGACAAGCTTAGTGGAGGAAAAGCAATCATATTCCTGGGTTTTTTTTATAGCCAAATATGTTCTAGTGTTCGTTATTTAGATTGCCAGTTGTCACTTTTCACTATCCTTGTTGCCACTTTAATCTTTGTTAAACACAGAAACAAGAATTTACATGCCAGATATTCGTAGGTATGTGAAATTTACTAATATCTGGAGTACTGGAGTTTTAAACCCCAATCTTTTTTCATTTGCTAATATTCTTACGGCTGTACCTGTATGAAGTACTTGAAGACAATCAGTCATTTGAAGTTGATGTTTTGATTTGGTGTTTACCTGCAATTATTAGTTTGTTATGGATCAAAGTTGGTAGTTTCATTGACTTGAGTTCTCATCTCGTTGCAATGCAGAAACGATACGAAGACATTCCAGTTTTGGGGCAGAGGCAGTCAGAAGAATGATTGATCAATTTTCTCTGTTCTTCTGGCCATTTTGACTTTCCATATTGAGATGTTGGAGAAAACATTTGTGTAGTAGATAGTAAATTTCATTTCTCACAATAATTGTTCGAATACATCAGACTTGCTTGCTTTTGAGCACGGGATTGTTGAAAAATATTTGCGTTTCTCAAACATGAGAGCTTCATATGGCTTGGCTACAATTATTTGTCTATCATTCCCTTTTACTTTCTGTTATCTTATCAAGAGATGCTGTTATTTTCTGATTTTTGGCTACTGCCAACTTTAGAACATTACATTTAAGTTGAATTTAGCCAAAGGGATGTGAAATAAGTAAAATTTTATAAAATATTCCTTTTGGAATATTACATTAGCTTATATCAGTTTTTACTTGTCCGAAAATTTTTTGTAGAATTCAGTGCCCAATTGGTTTGTATGAATCCATATATATAATACATGACTTTTTCCATTTCTCTTCTGTGAATCATTTCTTCGAATCTCTCGTTCTTTGTCCTCAATTCATAACTCAAAATTGAGAGGAAAATTAATGGATAATTTGTCTTGGGATATGAAACATAGGAAACTAATTGTCTATACTTCATTCTTACAAGAAATGTACCCCCGAAACAAAGATGAAACGAGAAAAAATTATTTATATTTTGTTCTGTTGAATATTATTGAATGTAAATTCTAAACCAAAGGCAACCTCAAATCCTCGTGGACTAGAAATGGTTAAGTTTTATTGTGATCTCAGAACATAAGACATGTTTAAATACAAATAGAGCATAACAGAAATAGGGCGAATGAGAACAAACCCTTGCTATAGTCTGACAAAGAGATTTTAAATCAGGGATATAATTATAGTGTTTAAAACATTGGTGTTAATAATGTAGAAAAATTGACTAAATTATGTGGGAAGTAATGTTGAACCAAGAACGTTTGCGTGCACAAACTATTGTTTCACCATGAAGGAACTTTTACAACTACATCCACCCACTGCACTTGGATTTGTAGTCACCTGCAAAAGACGATTGGAATTCAGAAGTTGCAGGCATCGGAAGAAGAAATACAAACAGATCTACACTGCTAGTGCACTATCAAAATATCCCTTTACTATGGTATGATACCATATGCTCCTCAACACAAATACAGTGAAAAATGTGGGTGATGAACCCAATGAGTCAGCGATATTAAAATCGAAAATGTCATAAACTAGTTCATTGTTGCCAAAAGATTCTGCCTATCCCCATTTCAACATGTGGTTTTGTGCTTAGCAACCACACTTCCAATTAGATGGGAATATGGTTTCAGATCAACAAAACCCTTTCTAGTTTCTCCCACAAAGTACTATATCGGGTTAGACATGAATGAATGTTTTTAATACACTTCTATTAAGTGCCTAAAAGCTGCAGCCCACTGTTGGAACCCTTTTGATATACTAGCAGTTGTCGAAAAGTAATCGTGCATTCAGCATTCAAGGATAAAGCTTCACATACATTATAGTTCTTAAAGATGCTTACAAGAAGTCCGTACCATAGAATGATGGGAGTGAGATACAAAAAGTATGAAACTTTGGGAGATAACATGCAACTTAGACTATAGCAATTAGCATATAATACTATTGCAATATACCACGGATAGCAGAATCTATAAACAAAATCATACAGAAAATATGATTTGAGATTCACCAGATTGGATGAAAGAATCGAGTAGCTGACTTTAGCCATATCAGATTAATGCCCAAACTAAACATAGAACTGCTTTGCACAATGTATCGGGCTTTTCAGTGATGGGCAATCACATTATAATGAGCATATATCAATATGAGCAAACTGAGTTCTAAATGCTAGTTATGAAGTCTATGAAAGCACTGATTTTACAGCAGCCAGTCCTGTCAAATCACTTGTCCACAACTCTTTTATACCCACAGAGCATGTTGAACATAACTTCTCGCCAATCCCTCTCCTTTCCTATCTCTCTCTAGGCACCTCCTTAATCTAGACTAGAATGAAATAGGGAGACAGGAACATTTCGTCCATGCAAAGGTATTGCCTAGGTTTCGCATATCATGACGACCTACTTCTAGATTTAATATGAGAATGTGCAGCATTGAGGGATAAGGGTAAAGTATAAGGCTAGATCTTTAAAGAGTTTACAGAAACTCATACAATTTTGCTTAAATAAACACTCACCTGAATTGAACTAGATTAATTTGCTAGAAGTTAACATATCTCCATAAATAAGAGTGTTTGGCTTATAAGCAGCTTCTAGCAATATGTTTCAATCTCTCCATTTGGTAAATGGTGCTTATTAGTTTCTAAAAGTGACTTTAAAAAGGCAAAAGATAAGCATCAAATTCCTAAGTTTTTAGGTTCTTATTTTATTTTATCCAATAAATTTATTAAATGTCCTCTTCCCATCCACTTAAAGTTAAAAATATATAAAATAATACAAATCATAAAATATTTAAATAAATATATATTCTTCTTAATTTTTAATTTTTTTTTTTTTGCAATTAACACTTTATCAAAACTCGTAAGTGCTTTTAAAAGCACTCTAGTATTTTGAGCACATTTTTTTAAAATAATCCTAAAACTCTGTAAATAAGATTAGAAGAGATCAGAATCCTTCATGCATAAAGGCTATTTGATGTATTTTTCAAGGTAATATAATCAACAACTAACAATCATCCAATGACATGGAAATATAAATGATTCTATAGCAATTGCTAGATTATTGCATCATATAATGTCAAAAGATTCAAAAGATGTAACTTTTAAATGGAAAAAAAGAGATGAAAATAACTTTACCACAAATGCAGAACGAATCAGCTCCTCAACATAATCAATAGTTGCCCCTTTTACAAAATCGTATGACACATTATCTACCACCAATTTAACTCCATCCTTCTCAAAAATCCTGCAACAGCTTATTGTGAGAATTGTAGAACGAAAATGGGTGTTCAAAAGGAATTGAAAATCACTTCTACAATGAAATGGAATAAGATAGGAAGAAAAAACCTGTCATCTGAGTTGGTTTTATCATCTAGATTGAAAACATATTGGAACCCAGAGCATCCACCAGTTTCTACACCCAAACGGAGCATTTTCTCCTCTTCTGATGCTTCACTGGCTTGCAATTCCTTCATTCTCTGTAAGGAATTTTGCAAAGGTTAAGGCATATATAATCGTGATACTACCACAATTTACGTTTTTGCAAAATCAGGCGATAGTCAGAGAATCAACAAAATACTCCCCCCAAAATACAAGAATAGAAATTCCAGCAGTTGAACAATATAAATTCACTTTTTAATTACAAGTTACACCACTATATAAGAAAATATTAACCTTTTCCAACAACAAAAAGCAACCTCCAAATACCGATCCTCCAAGGAAAATAGGAGGGATAACAGAAGAATAAACTCGATGCGACAAAGTTAGAAATATGCCAATTATTTGAAATCAAGACCTTATAAAACAAACAGCACACTAAAAAGCATTTCTGCACAAATGTTTATGAAGAATATTTGGAGGAAACCCCGAATTGCTACGAAACCCCGAAAGAACGAGGAAAAGATGGAAACAAAGCAGATGCTTCTATATTGTAATTGTTTCCAGATAAATAAATTTCAATCAGCAGCAGATTACTGATTCCCGTTTATGAAATAAGGGAACAAACTGAAACAGTAATTTCCTTTCGCAGGATTTCTCACAAACTGAACGGATTAGAGAGCCGAAACATCGAATACAATACTGAATCCCGCAAAGCCGATAAAATCAAGGAATCAAAATCCATAAAACAGTACAAATTTAGAGAAAAATAATTCATCAAATAAAGAGGCATAGCGAATCTTCTCAAGAAAGATAGAGAGCATACTGTGATACAATTTTCGGTCATGTGCACATCATCAGAAGAAGGAGATGCCGACTGAGAAGAAGAAGACAAAGAAGAAGAAGAAGCAACTTCGTTAAGAGCAGAAGCAGAAGAGAAGCTAAGGATTCTCTGGTTCTCTCGTAATCGAGCAGCAAAAAATGGAGTTATGCGGTGAATCAGCGACCTTGACGACATGTCCAACTTCACCTTTTTATCTCGTTTTACCCTCTCATGTCTAATTAATTAGATTCCTCTGGTCCTGGCTAGGTTCTTCTTCTTCTTCAGCTGCGTTTCCCTGTGATACGTGTTTGAATTTTCTCTCAGAAACCTGGAAGGAGAAATGGGGGTTGTGTCCATAGACCGAACACCACACTCCGGATCCCGGTGACGTGCCTCTCTAATTTTTTGGGCCGCCCTTGATTAAAATTGCGATATTACTAATTTATTCTCTAAATATTTATGACATCATAATTCTTATATTAAAAAACGAGTAAATATAATTTTTTAAATAAATTCAGTAACTCTTTTTTAAATATCATTTGCAGACATTATATAGGTGTTAAATTAACAGGGAGTTTTGAATATAATATAGCTTAATTATAACTGATTTTATTTAATTAAAAAATTTATAGTACACTTTGAACAAACTTTATAATTATAATTGAACCTAATTAACTAAATTCGTGATTAAATTTATCATTAAATTATTTTTTAAATGCATGACAAATTTCTGTGGAAAAAAAAAAAAGAAAACAACTCTTAAAGAAAAATAAAAAAAATTAACTAAATTTGTTAAGAGAGTTTAATAGGTTAATTTTTTTATTCAAATTATTTATTTTGGATAATTTTTTTCTTATTTCTTTAACTAACATGTTTTTAAAATTTCCATAAATAATTTAACAAACAAAATTATTTTAATGGTGAATTTATTATTAGATTCCAGAAAATTTTGGGTTATAAGTTAAACCACACTCTGAGCTACTTCCTTTGCCCGAAATTAGGAAAGAAAATTTGGATTAAGGTGTGAGAGAGGATCGTCTTGGTGGGAAGAAAAGTAGAGAAGAACGGGAGAAGCATTCAATCACAGAGCTCATCGTCGGGAACCTTCGGCTCTATCTGTAACCTTCATTTTGGTAGAATCGAATCTTTCCTTTCTATTTCAGATAATTGCTTCTGGATTTAACCTTGATATGCTCTTCCCTTCATTTACCTGCTCTTTCCTTGTTTCTGCTTTACTACATTTTATTTCTATAACTTTGTAGTAGCAGAAAGCTCGAGCAGCCGGTGCTTGATGAAATGCCTTAATGAACATCGTATTGTTATTTTCCTGCATATCTTTGTTCAGACCTGCATTTTATTTATTATTCGCTTAAATCTCAGTAGTTTTTTTTTTCCCTCGAGCATTCTGATATCACAGTGGTGATGAAACTCAAGCAGGCAAATTTATGGGTGAAGCCAAAAGAAAACCATGTTTATTTTTGTTTTCTGCTTATTTTCTCTGTGATTTAGAAGAGTTGGAAGGGAAATAGCAAAATTTTAATATTATGTGAATTTGATGGATTGGGAAGTTTGGAAAAAGCTACACAGACATGAAACATGTTTACACTGTAATGTTATGAATTAAATGGATATGTGGAGTAAAATTCATCTTGTTGATCCCAACTGATGGTTCCATTTTTCAGGCATAGAGGTGAAATATCTTGTTTAAAGCAATGCAGAGCCATAAGTCGGCAAAAATAGAGCAGGATTTCCAAATTCGAAAGCTGGAGATTTCAGACAAGGCCAAGGGCTTCATAGAGCTACTGGCCCAACTAAGCATTTGCAATTCTGTCTCTGACAAGGAATTCGAGGAGCGTTTTCGAGAGATCAGTGCTTTGAATGATGATCATCTGATTTGTGTGATTGAAGATCACAACTTGGGGAAGATTGTAGCAACGGGAAGTGTGTTTATTGAGAAGAAGTTCTTGAGGAACTGTGGCAAAGTTGGGCACATTGAGGATGTTGTTGTGGACACAAATGCTCGGGGGAAGCAATTGGGGAAAAGGATAGTTGAGTTTCTGGTTGACCATGCTCGTTCCATGGGGTGTTACAAGGTAATTCTTGATTGCAGTGTTGAAAATAAAGCCTTCTATGAAAAATGTGGGTTGGAGCATAAGGGAATCCAGATGGGTAAGTATTTCACTTGAGAGGAAAAATAAAGAATTGCAGTAAAAATTGATGTGATTAATGGCTGCTGCTGCTGATGATGATTCAGAATTGGAGTTTTAGCATTTTTATTGTTTTTGACATTTCCAAAATTACCATCTTTATAATCTAAAGACAAATGATCTCCAATTCATCAGCAGCGTTTTTTTATTTAAAATGTTCTTGATCTTTCTGTTAACTTCCCTATTTAGGTTATGGAGTATGACATGAGAATTTCTTGAAGTATTTGTTAACTTCCTTCACTTACCCACATTTTGTACTAATGCATGTCTGATTGATGTGATCGAGTCCCTGAAGTGTAAATCTAAAGAGAGTGGAGAAAATCTTGAGTCTTGCATTTTGAATGACAACCTTGTGATAGGACTATAATCAACTTGTGTCACTTTCATATTTTCTTTTGATAATCATAATTTTAAATAGTATAAAACTGCTAATTTGAGAAAATTGTGCTGGCCAGAATTAGAACTTCGACAGCTTGAAAGGCAAAGAAAGTACTTAGCATCTGAGCTAAGCAATTCATCTCAATTTGTTGTTGGCAATAATTTAAGTATTTGGGCATGGCCACTTATGAAACTTGTGTCTTTCTCTTGGGTTTGATTCAAGTTTGTTCGTAGATCGCCATTGCTTGGTTCATCCGTGAATTACACAGGTTGATTTCTTTAGATATTTTTCTTTCACATCTCAAATCCATTTACTGGATACTGGGGCATTTCTCCTTCTATAGTTGTTATCTTATAAATCTTATGTATCTTTTAGAGAGAAACAAGAGTTTCATATCACTTCAAATTGTTTTAAAAAGCTCCCCGCCGGAAATCTAACTTATGGTATGACAAAAGTTCATTTCAACCTCAGAAAATCTTGTGGGGAAAATTTTTAAGGTGATCTCATGATAGACCACAAAGAGTTATTAGTAAAATATGATCGATAGAGTACTCGTGTGTTGTAAAATGTTCCCGGAATCTAGAAGACTATGGGATTCTATTCTAAGTTTGATAAGCCTTTGCCGGGTGGTTTCCATTTCGGTCTGGAGGGAGTTAAGGCCTTGGAATGGTCCTTTAGCAATTACGCTTAAGAGGAAACAGTTCTTTCTCATTTCTCTTTTGTTATTATGAAGAGAGAAACAAACATGATTTTTAACATTCTACCATCCCTTTTATGTTCATTAGGCATCATTGTTTGGAATCCTAAATGGTTGTGCTTTATGTATAGAGGTTTTTATGTAATTTACGAGATCAATTTTGGAGACTTCATTGACTTCATCGATAGTAATTTGATTTCCTTTACTATTACGTATAATTATAATTTTTAACACTGAATCTTTAGTAATATATGGTAACATTTATAATCTGAGTAATGTAAAACTCGAAGGATAATATTTGTAAATTATTCAATTGTAATGTGAGAATTCTTGCAACTCCAGAAACTTTATTATTATTTCTACAGAAACTCTTCATGGTCATTGTAATTTTTATTTGACTATGAACAAGCGTTCTTTAATTAAATAATAAAAAATGATTAAAATCTATAAGAAAAATGTTAAATGTGCAAAAAAAAAAAAATTATTATTCAAATTAACATGGATGTTAAATAGAAAAATTAAGTAATTTAATTGGTGTAAACTATATATATATATATATTCTTAAAAATATGTATTTATTTAAAATTAACCAATGAAGAAACACCTAATAAATTTGGCATTGTACATTCTTTTTTTTAAAAAAAAATGGCGTTTGGAAAGGAAAATTAGTTTCTGACGTGGCAAGCGTTGATTGGTCTGAACTTAACGAACAATTAGTTGTCTTCATACCAGAGCACTACCAGACCCCGTGCATCTCCCACTTTCGTGGGCGGATGGTGCTTCTCTTTCGAATGACAAAAAAGCCCTCATCCTCAATCTTCCTGCTTGAACCCACTATGTCCCAATTTCTTGTTCCTCTTCAACCCAAAACCCTAAAGAGAAAATTTCATTTTTCCATTGAAGAGAAAAGGAAGAATCCTTTTAACTCCCGATTTCTGCCACCTCAAATATTAATAAGCATGTCAGGGTAAACTTTGCTTTAGCTTTCATTGATTTCCTCAACGACGCCCGTCATCTTTTATTGAATTTTCCCATGCATTAAAGGTTTCATTTAATCGCTTTTTTTCATTTATTGCATATGTTGCAATAGTTAAGGAGTATCTGGTGGTAAAATGGGGTCGAGCTTGCATCAATGGGAATCCGATCCGCTGTTTACAGCAGCTGAAGTTGTTCAAGACTCCGCGGACCGGTCAGTATTCTACTTCTTAACGAAGCCACTTCATTTTCATAGTTTATTGGAACCACTTTTTTATGCTTTCAAATTGGATAGGATGTTTTTTTCATTTGTCTTAACTGTGACGTTTGACTACTTTTTTGAAAAGTTAACGAGGTCTGATTATTTTGCCTAGTTTGCTTTTAATAAAGACACTTAGCACGCATGCAAACTTTTCATTTTAACGATGCTTGCAGTTAAGTTCCATTGGTTTCTAATTCTAGAGAGGGTGCTTAGCTTTGTTAGAAAGTGAAGCTGTGCTATTGAGATAAAATATGAAGTTTCGTTTGTTAATTTGGTTAAGGTTTTCTAATCTGAATGCTGATTGTGAAGCGGATGACTTATCGCCACTTAACTTTGTGGCATGAGTTCTGAATTTCAAATTGCAGGTGGTTCGAAAGCATGATTTATTATATTTCTTTTCTTATATTATGAGCATATTTTTTCAAAAACTTGTAAACACTTTTTTTTTTAGTAAACACTTTTTTTTTTTGAAAACGAACTCAAAAATGTTTAGGAAAGAAGGAAAAACAACCAAAGGAAAGTTTGCAAGTCTCTTTGTCTTTGGTTTATAGTTGGATTACTTTAACAGTTAATGCAGGTGTCACCTTTTGCATAAAGCACATTGTTAAATTACATTTTTCTAGTTGGCAACTGGAGTCTTTGGATAAATTTCTGCCTGAGTTATTTACCTTGAATAATTTGAAAATGGTGCATTCTCTTACCTACTTGGGTTTTTCGATTTTTGTTTTCTGTTAGGATGGAATCAATATTTCGTCTTCTATTACATGAGCAAAGCCTTGTCCATGATGACCATGCTGATCCAAGGCTGCTGACATCAATAGAGTATCATAGGCGTGATCTTGCTACTATTCTTGAGACTGCAAAATGGCAGGTATTACAGATTTAGCATTTTTTAAAATAAATATTCTTTTGGATTCTTTGATTAGTTTGACATTTCTCCGCTCAGTTGGAAGATTTCGAAAGGGCTGTTTGCTTGTCAGCTACAATGGACAAGTATCAGATGAAGGAGGATGTGATTTCTAGGCATAGACAGTTCATTAGAGCCATTAGGGAACAAATAAATCATGTGAGGAAAAGCATTGAAGATCCATCAACCAGAAATTCAATGAACAGCCTTGAATGGGTCAACTTAAATGAACAGGACAGAGATGGATTGGCAGTATTTCTTTCAGGAGGAAATCCCATGGAACAAATCAATCATCATGAGATGGAAGATAGTAGTATCTTGAGAAGATTTCTTGATCCAACCACAACTTCGACTTCAAAAGATGCTGAGATTGTTCAGCATGAAATCAGAGAAGTTCAGAATTTGAATATAAATGGCGGTCCTGTGCATGCTGATGATTATTATGATTCTTTGAAGGTAAATGACTTAAGGATGGTCGGTTCTCATCATTCCACGAAATTGTGTTTAGATGTGCCAGATTCATGTCTAGAAACATCCTGCAGAGCGCAAATTGAAGATGAAAAATGGGATCTGGAAGCTAACATAGTCAAACCCGAAAGTTCCTTCCACAGGAATAAGTTGAAGGGATTGTTTGGTAGAATGAATATCGTTCGTTTCTTGTTTCCAAGAAATGTGTATGGTGGTGTGCCTAGAAATTATACAAAGCAGATGAAAGATGGAGAAGAACAAAAACATTCTCCGGAATCTACGGGCGTTTCTCATGCCTTGAAGGTACTGCTGTCTGATTGCTGTGCTGATGCTTCAATCTTTGCTTCTTTTAATAAGGCCCAAAAGACATGTTTATTGTTTGGATGATGAGGGATCAAACATTTCCTTGGTTCTAATGGTTCAAGTTTAAAACAATTCGTGAGTGGATGGATATTGTAGATTTTAGATGTCTATTTTTCAGGGTCGCGTCCCCCTCAATGTCTTTTTTGACGAGTGTTTTTTTCTTCTCAATAAAAAATTTAAAACAATGAGATGTCTATAGTATTTGGTTTTATCAGATCTTGTGAAACAACCTTTAACAGAATTAGAAGTGGTAACTAGAATGGTACCATACAGTGGAAAAGTTTATAAAGGTTTAGCTCATGGGAAGGATAAGACAGTTTAGTATTAATCTTCTAAGATATTATTATGCATGTTTTTATATTTATTTTTTATTATTTAAGTTGATTATAAGAACTAAGTCAACAAAGCAGTTCCTAGGAAATTGGAGTAATTGAATTTGTCTTAAGAAGTTAACTATCTTGAGGGACTAAAAAACGGATGTATTTTCAGATCAAGCTTGAGTACTTCCTTGTCAAGAGATTGTTAGGTTCTCTCTAAAAAAGCCTAAACTTTCCTTAACAATATAGGTTACTACCACAAGGAAGTCAGAGAAATTCTGCAAATCTCTTCTCTGATTTTGCATATCTAGGCATATAACCAGATCTGTAACAAAGGAACATACCAATCAAAGCATGTATATTATTGCTAAGCTCAAAATATGTCATCTTGTTTTTCCCCTAGCTGAAGTGCATAAATTTCTTTTATTTAGTTACTCTGAGAAATAGCAACAAGGGCAGTCTGTAAGGATCTGCTATGGTGTTAGAATTAATAATCGGCATACTAGATATAACTCCAATAATGCATGTGAACATAATAAAAAATCTGTAATCTCCATGCTGGTAAAAATATGTTGAATAACTTAATAAATGCTTCATCATTGAATCTCTTGAAACATGAATATCATTGCACTTGTACATTGTTATTGATTTATCAGAACAGAAAGATTGTTGCATTTGTTATTTTCAAGAAAAGATTGTTGCACTTGTTGGAGTTTAGTTTTAATGCTGTTTGAATGAAAAGAATTCTAGAGCTTTCGAAAATACCACCTCTTCCTTTATTTCCATTATGGACCACTGGATGAGGACCCTGTGTTTTTTGTCCCATCCTTCATGAGGTGGATACTGGAACTCTTTTTCATCTCTTCTCTCTTTGAGAGAGATGTCTACTTTTGTAGATGGGCAGCAGCCCGTAGGTGCCCTTTTAATGTTTATCCTTTATTTTTCTCTCAAGAGACACCACTGACACTTCATTCCGTTTTTTTTTTGGCCAGGACTGCCATTTTGGAACAAGTTTATCATATGGAAGGAACATCCAAGGGTTATACTCCAGATTTTTTATGGATATAAGATCCTTCTTTTGGTGGCTTGGGACATGTGGGACAAGATATGCTAGATCTCAATGCCATCTTCACAATCAGCACTTCTTGCAAATGATATTAACAATAATATTAGCACTCATTCTTTTAGGTAAGCGCATGCATGTTAACAATTTCATGAACACTCGCCCTTTAGGTAAGTGCATGATTCTGATATACTATCTCCTTTTAAATCTTTTTCTCTGCTTGTAGTAGTCTATCTAAGATGTGATAGATATTCTTATTTGCCTGACTATTAAAAAGGGACCTGATGTATGATGCAGTTCCTCTGAAATTTCTAATGCCAACCAACTTGATCATTTTTTTATACTGCTTCACTAACATAGGAATAGATGGAGTCTTGAGCTTATCCAAGTCTTCTCAGTCTTGTTATCGTTGGTGCATGCTTTGCAATGATGTTCTTTGAGGATTTTTTAACTTACAAGAAAAGGGGAAAAGAATTTTTATTTATACATATTAAAAGCTTGTTGCACCCAGCAAATGCTTTTCAGATGTTTGATGGTCTGACCATTTAGTCCACTTTATGTTAAATATGATTATGGCCTAAAAAGTTTCTAGTAAATGTTGAGTATTTTGTATCTGTTGCCAAGGTGCAATATCCAGAATATAAAACATCTAATTGTCAGATTGCTATTAGTAAGGAGAGAGTGGGCATTCATTTTTCCTTTGTTGATAGAAAATGTTCCTTCGAAAAATTTTTTGACTTTGAAACTTAAGATTGTGTATGGTAAGTTCCATCTCCTTGAATTATCGGAAATGCTGTTGACTAGCAGCTTGCAGGCCCTGAGGTTTTCTCAATCAGTACACAACTAAACTATGGAAAAATAAGCTTACTGCGTGATCTAGATCATGTAATGCATCAAACACAATCCTGGAGTTGACTATATAAAAAACCACGTCTATTCTTGGAGGAAGTGCTTCTCCTTTCTATTAGTGCATTAAATATTCTGTACAATTTCTAATGCACTTTAGGAATGTATTCTTTATCTTCTTTCCTGTTAAATCACTGTTGAGAATCACTTTATTTTTTCTAAGCGAAGGTGTGTGTTAAACATGACACAAATTATGTTCTTTTAATATGCAGGTTTACTCGTCTCCCAACTTGCTTGAAGATGGTTACAAATCTCTTCAAATATTCAATATATTTCAGGGACTTAACTGCAATTCGCCAAGTGCAGCTGATATTTATATTATGTTTGTGGAACAGATGAAATCCACAAAAGAACTGGAGAATTCATTTGAAAATCCATATTTTATCATGAATTTGCTCGCTAATTTGTGAATCAGCTTTTTTTGTTCCTTGTAAATACAAGGCTGAGTTTACGAATATACGATGTTCTCATAACAAATACATGGAGATAGGCATGCCCAATTCACAAACAGTCCAAGAAAATGCAAATTCAGTTGCATTTCAGGGCTTGGGTCCGAGGGCTCTGCTTCAGCAGTAAATTTTAGCCGGCACCATCAGCAAAATCATGCCCGGAGTACCGGATGTTAAAAGCTAATTCTGGTCGTCACTGTCATTAATACAAAGTGATGTACTAATGTATGCAATTTCTGGCTTCTGAGTTTTCAAAAATCCAGCATGATTGATTCTTTTTCTTGGACAAATTAGAGTTTGATTCATTGGAGTTTGGTTTTATTGCAGTTCAAATTTTATATTTTCTTGTGATAGTTAGGTACATTGTGGTTTTTTTTTTTTTTTGTATAATATATAAAATTATTAATTTTATGTTATGGTATTATAATTTTAGATTATTGTCTTAATTTTGATTTTTGTTTGTTTAGTTTCTACGTTTGTACGCGTAGAACAAGTTTTCATGTAAAATATAAAAAATTAATTCACATACTAATAAATTACGAAACATTACAAGATTTGAAACGGTAACAGGTTAAATTATAAGCAGTGAAATTGTATTTTATTATTCTTTTGGAAAAAATTTATTAGGCAGCTGAGAAGGAACTGAAAGAAATTTTGAATGGTTTAGTTGTGTGCGGAATATTTTACAATTGACAAAGACTTTGTCTTTTTTCCATCGCCTTTCATATTATATATATATATATATAAAACACTCTCATATATTTGATTAAATTGATCCTTGACAATTTAATCAGATAAAATAAAACCATCTTAATTTATATAAAATTAGAGTTAAAACAGTTCTTTCTTTTTTATGGGAAAATTTGTATTTTTCACATCATATTACAAAAAACTTGAAAGGTTATAAAAATAATTAAGATAATTATTTTAATCATTTAATAAATTTTTTAATCATTTAACATATTACTAAGAAAGAAAAAGACCCAATTGTTATTTGAAGAAGGGTATGACAAAAAAATATTAATTTTGTCATGAAAAAACTAGTAAATACAATATTTATAAAAAAAAAAAAAAAATTCTCCAATTTGACAAAACTTAAAAATACGTAGAACTATTTGATTCAATAAATCAAAAACCCATTCAAAGTGACAAAATAAAGGAAGATGATATAAATATGATATCCTTTTCCCAGTTCACATGAATATACACACACATACCCCATGTACCCTTTTGGTGGAGATTAATCACGTCACTTAAAAGCCAGTATCAATTAACAAATGAAAATAGTTCAATTTGCTCGCTCATGTCCCTTACAGTTTTCAAATTAACGATGACTTGTCTTTCCCGTTTCAGTTATCGATCTTATATTTTATTCCAAAAAAGATATAATTTCGTATCTAATTTAGTGAAGGAAAATGGAGAACTATGAATCGGCATTTAGTATGATAACTCTTAACTTGTACAATGGTTAGTATATGTTTGAACTATAATGCAATTTGTTAGGCATACAACAGTCTGTTCTTTCGATCTCCTTTCACAATGCAGTTTTGGCGCATGGTTAAAACTTGTACCCATCCCAGAGTCCTAAAAGATATTACAAAAGAAAGATAAATTATGGTGGATGGAGACATGGGACATACCGTGCTTGGATTCCCTGGGAGGCAAAAGAAGGCAATTTGAGATTTATCCTCAGACCTTTGAATGAATGCTGCAAGTCCTTACCGAATGAATGCTGGCTTTAACCAACACTACCTCAAAAAACTCCGAGGTGAGCTGGTTAAGAGACCTTTGCCTAAAGTAGCCTGTAGTGATGCCCTGATGCACTCAGAGGGCAATTTTGCGCGTTCATGTCCCTGAAACTGAAGCATACATAGACGACTTGGTAAGTTTGGTTAGTATCTGAAATTGTAGAATGCATAGACTCTGTAGTTCTGGAAAGTGATAACAGTACCATCATTCCAATCAAAAGATATTCCAGTAATGTTGTGTTTGGTTCAATTCTTATTTAATTCTTAGTTCTAATTTTCATATTCGTTTCAATGTGCATAACTAAAACATAACTTTTGTATTCAAGTTATCCCAAACCTTGAATTCCTTGATGGTTAGAAGTCAATTCTAACCATGAAAGATAAGAACTGAATTCTCATCTTCAAAGAATTCAAAGCAAGATGGTGATGATAAGTTAAATACAAAAAATATATTCTAACATGCCTATTAAAACCAATATGAAAATTAGAACTCTAAACTGAACCAAACATAACATAGGTTCTATGACTTCCTAACATAAAAAGCAACTTCAAGACTTATGATGCGCATAGCTTAAACACATGGTTCACAAACAACTACTAGGAGACCTAGAGATTCAAAAATCATTTGCGTAAACAAGTACCTTCTTGTCACCAAGGAGATTCCCTAACAAAAGTTAGCTTATAAAATCAAAATAGCAATAGAATTAAGTCTGGCTTTTAATAAACATCAATAAAGCATTAATCTTGCTAGTTTTTGCTGGCCCTGAAATCATAACTTTACCATGTTGTATCCTGGACTTCAAGGCACGTAAAGAGAGCAGGTACCAATTGAGTAAGTAGATCTTGGCTTAATATTGGCAGTTAAAAGAGTATTTATCATCTTCTCCAAAAGAAGATTGCGGTCAGTAAACAGGTTATGCAGGATGCAGAGTTGTCACAGCTGGTAAAACAGATTAAGGTTTCTTACCAAGTAGCTGCAGCTTCTTAATCTGACTTCTCAATCTCCCGGAATTTCCTGTCCCAGTCTCTGGCCTCATAATCTTGCTCAACCAAGTCCTTTTCAGTACTATAGACAATCCGATCCTGTCCTATGACAGTTCTTTGGGCCATATCCCGAGCACAAAGAAGCTAAAGAGAATAAACAATAAAGCAATAAGTACCTTACCATGGATAGATTAAAAAGGACAAGGTCATTCTTTAAGGTTAAATCTGTTCTAGTACAATTTGATAAAGATTCCTTTGAGAGGACGAACGGGTGTAAAGAAGTACCCATTTTTTCTTTACGCTATCTATTATATACCCTGTGAGCATAGCTGGTAGGCCTCAATGATATACTACTAATTTAGAATTATGATACAATAACCAGAAGCAGTGCACTTCATACATAGACCTATCAGGAGAGTTATATACTGCTAATGTAGATTAGAGATTATCCACCCACAATTGCTATAAGCCCTCCTGTGAACCAGGACCAAAACAAAGGCACAGCAAAACAGTGGAACCTTCTTGATGTGCTCATCATTCAGAAGATCCTGTCTCAAGTAACGGAAGAGTTTGCTAATTTAGAGACTCATTAACCACAAACAACTGTTATATGCCCTCCTTTGAACAATCAATTCGAGGACCAAAACAAAGGCATACAAAATCTTTATCCTCTCATCATTCAGAAAATCCTGTCTCAAGTAAGGGGATGGTATTTTTTGTAATTAAAGGATATGGGTTAATGACTACTCAAATGTACAATCTAATTTAGCAATAAAAAAGATCAGAACAAGTGTTAGGAAAATCTGCTAATGAAAGATTTTAGGCACTTGGTTTTATAGGCACTATTTAGCACATGAAAATCATGTAGTTTTTATTTCTTCCATGACCATATATGTTTATGCATAAGATGATATGTGTTAGTTGAAAATAATATTTAGAAAATGAAAGTAAAAGATGACATCAGAAAATAATAAAAATCGTTTTCAAATAAGAAATGAAAATTAGAAAATGTTTTCATATAACAAGCAGGTAAGGACCATGACCATATCACATATAAACCCTCAATTTTGCTTGCTTGCTAGGATGCACCTTTTTATGATCCTTTTTTGTTTCAAATTTTTGTCCAGGATGCACAGCGTTCAATAACTTTTGACTTAATTTCTTGGTTGAAAGAAAAATGTTAGTTTGAGAATCAAGCAAGTCCTTTGGGAGAAATAAAATGACAACAAATAGATCTGAAAAGAACATAGTTAAAAAACATGTGGAAGAATTTATTTATCACAAGTAAATGTGACACAATAGAATTCATATAGCCAATTCAGCAGAGTGTAATGAGATTGGAACTTTGTCAAGTTGAAGGCCCAGAAAAAACTGAGTGGTATATTTTACAGGAAAATGCGACGTCACCTAAGTCTAACCATACTCGCCTACCATTAGCAACTGAAAAGAGTCTACTTCTGGCAACCTAGAAAAGTAAGTGTGTAGTTTTAAAAACAGGCTAAGCATGTTACCATTTTTTTTTTTCCAGAAAAAGGCCAAGGTAACACTAGAGTCAACTATCAACCACTTTAGATGCCCAGATATAAACGTATATATGCCTACCTTACGCCTTAAGGAAAGATCTGGCAATTCAAGCGCTCGAGCAAACTGTTCCCTTGCTTGATTTCTCTTCTCTATATCAGCATTTCTCTTCCGGTTAATGAACCAACGAATCAATGGAATTGCAAAGAACGAACCAGCATAGATCTGCAAAGATGTTTATATAACTAACTGAAAATGTAACATGAATCCTAAATTTTTCTGGAAGCATGAATTCTCCTTCCTGATATCAGAAATTTTTATCCAAAAAAATTAATTTTCTCAAGTTAATGGAAGTTTCACCCAAAAGAATTTTCAAAAATTAAGAACTAAAATCATTGATGCAGTACTCTTGCTAAAACATAAGCTCAAAATTCTTCAGCAACGTTTTTTTTGGGGGGACAGAAAAGAAGTATCATAAAAAATAATAACATCCGTGTGATAAATAAAATCATCCTTGAATATTTCTTTACACTTGTTCAAATTAGTCTATTCTCAATTTTTATAAAGTGTTTATTCATTTATAGACATTTGATTCTGTCATGTAGAACTGGAACATAAGCAATAAAGGTTGCTGTTTTATTGTCATAATAGACCTTCATGGGCGATGAACTTGCAACTTTCAATCCTTCCATCAGTTTCTTAATCCACAATATTTCACAAACTGTACGAGCTACGGCCCTGAACTCGGCCTCTGCACTGCTCGTAGCAACAATATTTTGTTTTTTACCACACCAAGTAACTAAATTGCCTCCAACGATGTACAGTAACAAGAGGTTGATCTCCTATGGTGGTATCTCCAGCCTAATCTGTATCAGTTTATACTTCAATTTGCACATGTCTATGTTTCTGGTACATCAGTCCTTTTCCAAGAGTTCTTTTCAAGTACTTGAGTATCCTTACACAGTCTTAAAGTACTCTGGTCCTGTTCAGCCCTTCTTCGGCCTTGATAGATTGAACTTTTATGTGGGGCTCAATTGGAGTTCCAATGGCTTGACAACCAAGAAGACCTGCCTCACCAAGTAGATCAAGAATATATTTATGTTGATTGAAAAATATACCTTCCTAAGATCTAGAGAACCACATTCCAAAAAAATATGTCAAAGGACCCAAGTCCTTGATCTCAAAGCCATCAGCAGGCTGCCCATGGTATACACAAGGCTGACACACACCCCTGAAAATCTTCACATCTATCTTCACTTGGGCCATTGCAACACTTACTGAGCCCGGCTAACAGGCCAGTATTGTTTTACATTTCTCTTTTTTCTTTTCTAACAAAAAAAAAAAGAAAAAGGCATCAGCAAGCCTCTTCTTTAAACTTTCAAGTTCTCTGCAGTCATCACCTCTTAGGATTATATTGTCCACACACATATTTAGGATAAATACCTTTTACACCAGTTAAGTGTTTGCACAACAAAATATAATCTGCTCGATTCTAAGAAAAACTGTGAAGTTTGAAAATCCTCCAAAGTGTTTGAACCAGGCCCTAGGAGACTGTTTTGAGATCATATAGAGATTTTTTCAGTCTGCAGACTTTGTTGTTCCTGGGATTTCCTCCAAATCCTGGTGGTAGCCTCATAAATATTTCTTCCAGATCTCCATTCAAGAATATATTTTATACATCCAACTGTGTGAGAACAACTTTTAAGTCACAGCTACGAACAGTAAGACTCTGATTGAGTCAATTTTTGCTATTAAAGCAAATATTCCCTGATAATCAATTTCATAGGTCTATGTGAATCGCCTGGTTACGAGTTTCACCTTGTATCTTTCATGATACCATTAACCCTGCACTTATCACTGAATACCCATTTACATCCAATAGTTTTCTTATTCCTCAGTAAATCATTCTTTTTAAGAGAACTCATCTCTCCTTAACTGCTAATTTCCAATTCAGACCATCAAGGATTTCTTTAATGTGTCTCGGAATAAACAGGTGAGAGATCCTAGAGGTAAATGCTTTATGATTTCGAGACAACTTGACGTAGAATAGGTCTTCTGCAATAGGATGATTGGCACAAGTTCAATCAAGACTATGAGAGGACCAGTGACTGGAAGGTGGTACCCTTGGAGTGCAATTTCCTTAGATTTATGCCATACCCAAGCAGAAAGACATCAAGATTTGTGACTCTTTAGTTAAAGTCATGGTGGTGAGAAGGAATGACAAATGCTTGTGTGAGAAATCTTAACGACAGGGAGATCGGAGAATATGAGTTATTGAGCACTTTATCCCTTATTATGCTGGATGGAATCGTTGACACTCAACAGTCTAGTCCTACATCAAATGGGTGTTTCACAGTTAATCCTTCAGCAAACAGTTAATTAAGTATGAAGATGATAGTCTTATTTTCCCATTTAGGTAGACGTGGAAGGCCAGAGTCCCTCCCTGTGTTTTGTTTTTTGCTTGGGAAGATAGCAGAGAATGTTTTCTGACTATTGACAATTTGAGGAGTAAGATACTTGTCAATGCTCATTATCTTTATAATAGGACAGAGGAAACTTGTAATCATATTTTGCTTTGGTGTCCTGCAGTTTATAAGCTCTACACTATGGTTTATGGCTGTTAGGCATCAATTGGGTGATGGCTAATTTGGTGAGAGACGAAATTTGGGCGTGGAAGGGCATCAACAGCCAAAGGAAACAAGTGGATCTGCTCACTATTTTGGAGGTGGTGTGGAATGAGAAGAATAAAAGGCCTCTTATGGGGCTTGAGGATATAAATGGTTTTGACATCTTTAAGAATAGATGGTTCCACACCCTTGGTTTTTTGTTACGAGGTCATTCTCTTTGGTCAATGGAAGATTTGACAGACCTTGGTGATACTTTGGTTAAATTATAAATTTTATACATGGGTAGCACTCCCTTGGTGCCTATATCAATATACTTTTCCCATTTTATATTTCAAAAAATACCTATGAGAATATCAAGATGTGATGGTTTGTCTTTAGAGTGACCAATAGGGACTGAAATTGACAAAGTTGTAGGACTACCTTGGTTTTTTATTAAACCATAGCTTAGAGATCCTAACCGTTCTTGTTTGAGAGAGTTTTATGCTTGTGGCAATAGGTTAGGATTTTCTGTTCTTGGATTTGGTGTTTCCTTCACCTTTTGTTTGTCATCATCTGGACTGAGTGGGAGTCCAACTATGTGGTATTGGATTCATTGATCATGGAGGATGACAAAGTGCAAAGTCAAACTTAATGTCAGACATTTTCCCTTTTCTGTGCGCCTGTGATGGCATAAGGTAAGAGATCTTTTGTTTTTCTATAGATGCTCCAATACCATGTTGAATTCAGTAACTTTGGATTAAATTGAAAAGCTTAGATAACTTCCTCTTATAGGAAAGATTGTACAACAAAAGTAGAAACTAACAACTGATAACAGCCTACCTTTCCTGTTTTAATATATTGACTTCATTTTATAGTCTAGAAGATCCAAAGAATTGCCATTATTCGCCAAATCTCTCAATAAATTTGCTGGAAATTAATTTCCCAAAGCTCTTGAAAAGTATTTAGTTGTGTCATTAAATTTTTTAACCATAAATTTAACATTTTAAACTTATCCAACAATTAAACCATAAAAAAACATTTTATTATTCTGGGAGAGATAAATGAAACACACCTGAAGCAGAGGAAATATTTCAGCAACAAATTTAATAAATCCACTTGGTGCAACAGCAACATCCCTTCATATTAACATGAAGCTGGAGGCCTTAGATATAAACATATTTATATATCTGTAGATATATAGAGAGAGAGAGAGAGAGAGAGAGAGAGCGAGAAAGAGAGAGAGATAGCAAAACCTGATTTACAGGAATCTTACTTTAACATGGCTCCAAGAATGACAACCCAAAGAGATTAACCCCGCCCAAGCCAACGACCATGGCTCTCTCGTTCATGCTAGTTTTACTGCAAGGTAAGAACATACCAATTGTCAATGGAACTCGATCATAGAAAAATTCTAGCAAATAAATGGAAGAAATAATGAACCTGAATTCCCATTTTTTCTCTTGGAAAAACTTCTCAACCCCTACTACCCAATCAGCCCATCTCCTACCAACATATTCCTTTCTTCCACTTCTCTGAGATGAAGCTGTGCGCTGTAGTGATGGAAATATGTACAAAATATTCCCCTGCATGAAAAGTGCTTTCCCGTACCAATCAATGAGATTTTTAATGAGAATACCAAAATTCATAGAAATTCGGGGCAAAAGAATTGTAGATACCACATACATGGCTTAAAAAATATGTTTCGATATGTATAACAGTTTAAAATATTTAGAACCCCTTATAGCTCTATAATGAAACTTCCGTCGCGACAAGAAAAAGATGCGTAGAATAATCAGCCAAAAGAAAGAGAAAAGTTCTATATATTTACCTCTTCATCTATTTCTGGCTGTCCGTCAAACCGTAGAAGAACAGGTAAGATGTATGATTCATCTGTCTGAAAAGTTAAGGGTTACAAATGGTCAAACAGCACAAGCCACAAAAAAATAGGGTGAGGCAGTGTGACAAATAAATGAAGAAAGCAATGAAGATACTAAGATTAGAACCACATAAGATAAAAACAAAAGCAGTTGTCTTCTTTTTGTTTTCTAGATATCCTTTTGTATATGTATACCACCCCCTTGAAGCTATGCATATGAATACTTTTTCAGAATAAAAAGATTTCTTTTACTTTTGGTTTTTATCTGGGGCTAGTAACTGGAATTGATTAAGCTTGAATTAAGGTTAGTTTGCCTTCATTAAAGGATGACATTGATCAATATCTTGGCACTACCAATAGGATTAGCATACCAATCTATGAAGTTCTGAGGACAACAAACCATTTCAAACTCAATAGCGGAACAAACAGTTTTTCTGTAACAAAAAATAAGATGAATCTAGTGAAAGTAATTTCAATTGACAAGCTAGACTACATAAAATATAATCTTACCAGAGATCCCTGTGTAGTTTGAACATCAAGATAAGGGGCAAGTTCTTCCGCTGTAACAACACCACCATTAGAAGCAATATAATTTCCGATCTGCAAATATACATAATCGCAATGAGGGTCATTAAATTATCAAACTGGTGATAACATAAGTTATCTTCTTACATGAAAAGCATTAAATACACGAGTAAGTTAAGTAATTATAGTGAAAAGATAGTGACGAGAACAAAAAATACAGCCAATCACAACTCTAAAGCAAGAAATATCATTCAAAGCTGCCACAGTCCTATTTTATTGACAACTGAAACAATCACAATTACCAAGAAAAAAATTCCTGCAGAATACTATTTCAAAACTTTTGCCCACAACGGTCTCCTTGTAAACACATAAGCAGATGCACGCGCATTCATAGCAACATTCTGCAAGCGATGAAGCAAGAAGATCCCTTAAAACTACTACTTTTAATTTTGCTGTCCTCAAGTATTTCCTTGTATACAGAAAGGAATATACAGCCAGATGCACCCACAGAGATATGTAGAACATCAGCCCTAGAATAGCAAATGACAATTCCAGGAAGTGCAAAAGAAGAAAAGAGAAATTGAGACCCATCATCACATGATTGCATAACTAAATCAAACACATGAAAAAGTTTAGACTTTATTTACCCAACCTAAGAGGAAATGCAGAGGTTCAAAGTAAGTGTTTTCAGGCTTAAACAAGGGGAGATAAAGCTCTAGATCCTAATAAATAAACCAGGGAAACTAGCA